GCCCCGATCCTCCGGAAAAAAGCCCTACTTTGAAGTAGGAATAAGAGATCCTCCGGAAAAGGGCTTTTTTCCGGAGGATCGGGGCCAGTGTAGACGCTCTTTTCCGGCTTTTCTAAAAGCCGGAAAAAAGCGGCGGACATTTTTATTTAAATGCCGCGGGGGATATTTAAATCCCCCGCGGATTTCCCTATTACGATCTGAAAAATTAGCATGCCCCTTCCGGAAAAGGGGCCAGTGTAGACAAGCCCTAGAAGTATAGATTTTACAATCATAACCGTTGATAAGTGATTCCCTGCCAGACAGGATGTTTTCTTTGAACATCCTAACAGATTCCTTGCTTATCTGGTGATGGTGGGTATTATTAGGAGGGGCATCTTCTTTAACAGCCCGATGTTACATTGTTTTGATAAAACTGAAAAATGTGAGGAGTTGGCTTTCTGCTTCTTGGCTCACGGCTGCAGAAAAAGGCCCAGACCTTACAACATTCCTATTGTATTACAGTCTTTCTTTCTTCCCATTCCAGCTTTTCTGAGGATTAAAGACTGAAACATCCACAAATGAGAAACCCTGACATCAAAGAAAAGCTCCAGAAAAAAATAGCAACATGTAACATTGATAACACTTATGCTATAGGCTACAGCTGTAAAGCTAAATTAAATCATATTCAGTAGCCAGTAACTTAGCAATGTTGTCTTGTTTATCTATGTTTTTGAGATATAAATATATGCCTATTTTCCAGACTCTACTGCAATGCCCACCTGTTATGAATGATTTCACAGACCTGATGGGCATAATTTAATGATGAGAAAAGACCTTTTTATAGCAGCCTCAAATGAAATAATTGTTTATCTGTGATTAGAAGCTATCAGAATTAGATTTTTACTAATGATTTTTTCAATAGCTAATGTTTATATACACTAAATTGACAACACCAGGTCAAATAGCCATAAAAAGAAGCTATTCAGATTAAAATATCAACAGAAATATTACATACTGGTACACATCATCTCAACAGTAATAATGTTTTTGCCATGTGGAGTCTGAGAAGAACAATCATATGATTATTCACTGATGGAATTTGCCTTCAAGACCTCTGTTTACAGAAGATTGTTACTAGAACTATTCCACAGTTCAATAACAGCAATTCTAGAAAATTCTCCACTCTGCTGGATTGGCATGTTGAGCCATAACAAAAGAAACAAGCACAAAGTTGTACTGTCCAAAAAGCAGCAATGCTGCTGATAGACAATTTGGCCTGTTGATTTAGTTGTGCACCAGGATAGTGTGATCTAACTCTACTTTGGATGCTTTTACATTTCTCCCCATCCATGTGCTGCTCTCTGAGCCCATACCAGTATTACAGCACCAGACTGAGCTTGAAATTACACTTGCAACACCACAGCTAAATTGGTTTTAAAGCCCTGTACTTCAGCATCATTACCTTTAATGCACGATATGTATGGTTATCTGCAAAATCCCCAGCATGTCTTAAAAGTCCAAGACCAAGCCTGATTCCCCCAGAAGGAATTTGGAAATTTTCATTGGGCCCAACATTTAGCCCCTTTTTGCTCTCTTGTTTGAACAATGATGGTACTACTGCACACAGACCTTTCCTAGATAACGAAAGAAATCCGTTGCACCCCCTTGAAAGACTTGAACCTTTTACAATGATCCTCTGCATATTTTAAAGGTGAATGTGGGAATTATTTACTATCAGCAGTGGAGGGGCTTCTTTCAAAGCTAAGAAATTTGTTAGACAATCAGGTTTGTGCTAATTATCCTTACTTAGGTTATTGAGTCTGAGTGTTTGGCATAGCAGCTGTCAACACACCTAGATTTTCAAAGAGGCTTTTTGTAGTGCTTCTTATGCTGTGTAACCATGAGACTGAAACCTGCAGACATTACTAAAGTCTACACTCAGGATCCAGTCAACCAAAGCACTTAGGTACCAGTTCAGCAAGATACGTAAGCATGTACTTTATGTAAGCATATGTGTAGTAAGGATGTTAGATATTGGTTAATTTTCTAGTCATGTAGTAGTCATTGGTTAATTTACTAGTCATGACTAGTCGATAGGCACTTCCGCATTCCTCCTTTGAAATGTACAAGAGCCCCAAGGGAACACCGCGTGCAGCATGGGGCCAGCAGGAAGTCCTGCTGCTTCTGGGCTGCACTCAGCATGCCAGCTTTGAAATGTACAAGAGTCCCCAGCGGGGGTTCTTGTGCATTTCGAAGCAGAAGCAGCCTCATGGAGCCTGGGGTCAGCTGGGGATGCAGAGTCCCCCACTGACCCCGGGCTCCATGTTGCGTTGTCGATTTGAAATGCCACGCGCAGCCCAGAGTCAGCTGCAGACTCCCCAGCTGATCCTGGGTTCCGCGGAAATGCTGCGCAGAGCCCAGGATCAGCTGTGCAGGGATGCCGCTTTGAAATATCCCCTCATCCCTCCCCCTCTCCTCTTTGCTGCCTCTATCTGATAGAGGCAGCAAGGGGGGGAGGGAATCGACTAGTTGATTGACTATCCGATAAGCATTTGCTTATCAGATAGTTGACTAGTCGACTAGTCCTTAACATCCTTAGTGTGTACGCCTGATGAAATCAACGAGCTTATTAGTGTATTTAAAGATAAATGTGCTTATTAAAGTTCTTTGCTAGATCAGGGCTTCAGCTGGTAGAATCCTGCTAGACCTAGTTCTTGCAGTACCCACTGAACTCAATGGGACTCAGCACCTGTTAAGAATTGGCCTATTGGGAATTTTTCCTGAATAAGGATTAAGGGCTCTCATTGACTTCATTGGGAATGAGATCAGGGCCACAGCCCACAGAATTTGACCCATAGTATAGGTTTGTCCTGAGGTTGCTGATTTATTCACAATAACATTGATGGCTGTACTCTGCTGCCCTATGACTACAATAGCCGGTCTGGCCTTACCAAATGGGTGCCTGTATTTTACCAGCTTGGGCTCTTGCAGTGGATTTGAAAAAAATCCATTTGTAGTCTTGGGTATTTATATTGCAGTCCAATTTGTATTACAGGCAGTCCTCGGGTTACGTACAAGATAGGGACTGTGGGTTTGTTCTTAAGTTGAATTTGTATGTAAGTCAGAACTGGTACATATTGTACCCCAGGTGTCCCCAATTCAGCCGCTGCTGAAACTGACCAGCAGCTGATTACAGGAAGCCCGAGGCAGAGCTGCTTTGCCCCGGGCTTCCTGGAATCAGCCGCTGATCAGTTTCAGCAGCAGCTGACTTGGGGGCACCTCGGGTAGAGCAGCTGGGGTGCTGCCAGGTTGGTCCCCGCAGCGCTGCACCTCATAGAATCATAGAACTGAAAGAGACCTCAGAAGGTCATCAAGTCCAGCCCCCTGCTCTAGGCAGGACCAATTCCAACTAAATCAACCCGGCCAGGGCTTTGTCAAGCCGAGACTTAAACACCTCTAGGGATGGAGACTACACTACTTCCCTAGGTAACCCATTCCAGTGCTTCACCACCCTCCTAGTGAAATAGTTTTTCCTAATATCCAACCTGGACCTCTCCCAC